GACCGCAGAGTGGCGCGAGGGGAGGAGCAGCAACGGTTGCTCCTCTACCACACACACCTGAGGCCTCGGCCCAGAGCCTACTACTTGGAACCATTGCCACTGCCCCCAGAAGATGAGGAGCCACCAGCCCCTGCCCTACTAGAGCCTGAGAAAAAGGCTCCTGAGCCCCCCAAGACTGACAAACCAGGAGCTGCTCCTCCCAGCACTGAGGAGCGCAAGAAGAAATCCACCAAGGGCAAGAAACGCAGCCAGCCAGCCACCAAGACTGAGGCCAGTTCCCCATCCCTCTCCAACCCCTCTTCCTGACTTTGTGTTGTAGGGGTTAAAGTCCCTGGTTTAAGGGAGGTATGGGGTGTATGGGGAAGGGGTGCCATTAGAATCGTGATAACAGTGACTGTATCAGTACTGCTCTCCTTACACCCTTCTCCCTCACCTGCCCCCCAGAACTGCTATAGCCCACTTACCTTTGTCCTCTGCACCCATGCAGGACTATGGCATGGGCCCAGGTCGGAGTGGCCCCTATGGTGTAACAGTGCCTCCAGACCTTCTGCACCATGCAAATCCTGGTTCCATATCCCACCTTAACTATAGGCAGAACTCCCTAGGCCTGTATACCCAAAATCAACCACTACCTGCTGGTAAGTACTACTCACTAGGAATGGTGGAGTTGAACATTCCTTTCTCCCCAGGGGAGATGGGAATGGTTGGAACTGTTTTTGAAAAAAGTTGAAGGGATGAGGATCTCAGAGAGTTCGATTTGCTCTCCTTTCCAGGTGGCCCACGCGTGGACCCATACCGCCCTGTGCGATTACCAATGCAGAAACTGCCGACTCGACCACCTTACCCCGGTGTGCTATCCACACCGGGTATAACTGCTGTCATGGGCCTAGAACCCACATCTTATAAGACCTCTGTGTACCGGCAGCAGCAACCCACAGTGCCCCAGGGACAGCGCCTTCGCCAACAGCTCCAGGCAAAGATAGTGAGAGGGGCAGTAGGGAGGACTGTCAGGGGGAGAGGTTTTAGTGGGTCGCAGACCTGAGGAGATACTTGGGACCTTCACAAGAACATGCAGGGTAGGAGGTATAGAAGAGATACAGCAGAAAGTATTTCCTGAATTTGACTTCTCCATTTCCTCTTTAGCAGAGTCAGGGGATGTTGGGACAGTCATCTGTCCATCAGATGACTCCTAATTCTTCCTATGGTTTGCAGACTTCCCAGGTAAATGCCTGGGACTATGAGCATCAGGGAGAGGGCAGCAAGCTGCTGAACACCCTCATGCCCAACTCTCTCTCATCCTTCCCTCTAGGGCTATACTTCTTATGTTTCTCATGTGGGATTGCAGCAACACACAGGCCCTGCAGGTACCATGGTGCCCCCCAGCTACTCCAGCCAGCCTTATCAGAGCACCCACCCTTCTACCAATCCTACTCTTGTAGATCCTACCCGCCACCTGCAACAGCGGCCCAGTGGCTATGTGCATCAGCAGGCCCCAACCTATGGGCATGGACTGACTTCCACTCAAAGGTACCCAAAGTCGTAGTGAACCGGGAAGGGACACTGAGGTATAAGCAAGCATCTGATTTGGGAAATCCCATACTTGAGGTAATAGATGGGCCTGAACTTTGGGAGACACGAGCAACACTAATCTTGTCACATAACCATTACCACAAACAACCAGAGTTGGAACGGACCCTAGAGACCAATAATCTCACATTTACCACCTTGTCACTTCCTTGAGGATCAGAGAGAAGAAACAAATGTAGCTAGCTTTGATAAGAAGGGATCTAGAGTTTTTAGACATAGTAAACAGTAAGGAGTCCTAAGTCCAGTATTAAACAGTTAACTCTAGGGCTAAGGATATGGTTTAGTTGATAGCATGCTTATCTAGCATCATGAAGTCCTAAGTTTGATCCCAAGCACCACATAAAACCTGGTATTGATGCATGCACGGCTGCAATACCAGCACCTCAAGAGGAGGGTCAGAACTTCAAGGTCATCCTTGACTACATCATGAGTTTAAGGCTAGTCTAAGCTACATGAGACCCCTGTCTCAAGGGAAGAAAAAGTAGTTGAACTCTAGAATGGTCTAACAAATGAATTTCATGGATAATTTTAGTTGACTCTTAGTTAAGACTTGGGTAACTGTCATGAGGCTTTACAACTTAGGATTCAGAATACTCTAGAGTGGACTGATTAATTGCCTGCTGTGTAGCCAAAATTGTGTTAGGACTAGAGTGAAGAAAGACAGTAAAAAAGTACAAGGTTCCTCACCCCCAAAGATTTTTTTTTACCCTAGTTGAGAAGTAGGGGTCTTATGTAGAAGAAGATACCATGCAGAAAAATGCTTAGAGAATGGTATGAACAAAGTCATAATCAGGGGTTCAGTTGGGTGCCAAGAAGTAAAATGGGACTTGAGAAAAGATGGGCTACTGCCAGTGTAGATCAGAAGCACTAGAAAGATTCGTGGATTCGAGCTGGTCATTGAAGGATAGCTGTGATTGGGATTCATAGAGAAGGGGGAAACGAAGGGCATTCCAGGTAAAGGAAGCAGCATGAACAAAACCATGGGACTGGGTTGAGTGTCTGAAGATAGAAAGGAGCAGAGCTTAAATATAATGTGAAACTTGTGGGGAAGGAGCAGGAGCTAGGTTAGAGGGGGCAAGTTGACATATGACATTACAGTGAGCTACAGCATTGAGACACAACCCCAGAAAGGACTGCTTTGCTCAGGAGAGTGATAGGAGCTTGGTGTGGCCACAGATCACTGTGGAATAAGTGGACAGAGTGTAGGGGAAGGTGGGAGAGGACAAGCGAGGGAGCCCAGCTGCAGATTGTCAGGGATGGACAGATTTGGGCAGATTTGGGTAGAACGGGCATATGGAGTAGCAGAACAACTGGGGGTGTTTCTGGGGCACAACAGCAACCATAAAACCCTTGATAGGTGTTTATAGAATGCTTATCGTGTGCAGACTGTTTTTCATAAGAGAAAAATAGCTAAAAGAGAATCGAAAAATTCCTGAGCATTAAGGTTATGAGACAGTAAAATGGAGTATTGTCTTTGTGTTTTATTCCCTGACCTAGAAATCTGTCAGACTCCAGAAGGGCTCCTCTAGTTAGTGCCAAGAGGAATGAATACAATGACTTGTTAGTTTCTTTCAGGTCAGGGACCCAGGGTTTGTACCACCCCCTTTCTCTGCCCTGTGCTCTGACCTCTGGACCTCTTGTCTTTGGAGGTTTTCACACCAGACACTGCAGCAGACACCCATGATGGGTACTATGACTCCATTGAGTGCCCAGGGTGTCCAGGCAGGCGTCCGTTCAACTTCCATCCTGCCTGAGCAGCAGCAGCAGCAGCAGCAGCAGCAGCAACAACAGCAACAGCAGCAGCAGCAACAGCAGCAGCAGCAACAGCAGCAGCAGCAGCAGTATCACATCCGGCAACAGCAGCAGCAGCAGCAGCAGCAGCAGCAGCAGCAGCAGCAGCAGCAGCAACAGATCCTACGAGTAAGGCCCTGGGATTGTGGCTGAGACTTAGGCGCCCAAGAAGGAAAGGGCATATTCTTCCCACACTGGCCCCAAGATGAAACATGATGTCATGTGCTAGGCACCCAGCAGAATGGGTATGGTTGTACTTTTTGTTTTCTTTGCTTTCTTTAGGCACGGTCTCATACTCGTGGCAATCCTCCTGCCTCAGCTTCCTGAATGCTAGAATTTCAGGTCTACACCACCATATTGGGTTTGAACATGGTGCTTAAGTGGCTTCCTTTCCCCTCTTTTTCATTTCCTGAATATCATAATGAAGGGGAAATTGAACACTGTCTGCCAGATACAATGTTTGGGTTCTTTCAGATGTGAACCCAGAATTCCCTCACTGTTCCTTGGCTCTAACTTCCTTTTCCCTTCCTGCTCCCATTTTTTCAATACAAAGGCATAGCTTCCTTGCTCTCCTTAAAATTATCTCTTGTATGCTTATAGCAACAGCAGCAACAGCAGCAGCAGCAACAACAACAACAGCAGCAACAGCAGCAGCAGCCGCAACAGCCGCAGCAGCCACAACAGCCACAGCAGCCACAGCAGCCACAGCAGCCACACCAGCAGCAGCAGACAGCTCCTCCCCAACCCCAGCCCCAGTCCCAGCCCCAGGTAGCTGCTGAACTATAGCCACAGGCTCAGGAATGGCTGCACAGGATGGGCACATAGCCAGCCTATGCTAGGAACAGTGTGTAATGGGGTAGCGTCGGGAGATCAGGCACAACACTAATAGGTTTGGAGGTGTGGGTGAAGAAGGAGGTGAAAGGTTGGAGTTCCATCTTCCACTTTCCATTTCCACCCAGTTCCAGCGCCAGGGGCTTCAGCAGACTCAGCAGCAGCAACAGACAGCAGCTTTGGTCCGGCAGCTTCAACAACAGCTCTCCAGTAAGCCTGCCTCCTTCCCAAGAAGAAGCTGGGGAAGAAGTGGGGATGGGGTAGGCAGAGGTGGCTGAGATGCTGGCTTCAGGCCCAGATTATGGAATTCCTTCCCCATTTCCCTTTCCCTTCTTCATGAATCTGAGCCCTGATTGGTCTTCCACTCCCTGACAATCTCTCATTTTTCACAGATACCCAGCCACAACCCAGTACCAACATATTTGGACGCTACTGAGTCACCTGGAGGAACTGCTTGTACACTGGAAGTGGCCCAGCCTTTCTGCTTAATTCCCAGTCCCGTTCCTGGGCGAGCTCCAGTAGTGGTTGGAGCCCTTCCCTCAGGCTCCATTTTTAATGAATTTTTAGTATTTTTGTTAATGTGAAGCATTGAACTGTCGGGTTTTGTATATTATTTATATAGAGACGCCAGAGCTGTTGTACCCAATACATAGAGCTTCTTTGCAAAGGAAGTGTGTGAATCTGCACATAGAAGGGTCTCTGAGAGTGTCAGGGAAAGGATTAACAACTCAGCCTTCGTGCCTTCCATATTACCGCCCCCCCCCCAACTCACTCTCTACTCTCTCCATTTCGGAATCCTAACTGCTATTCTTTCTTCCTGCTCAAAAGCAACCTGCAATGAGCTCAAACCCTCAGTCCTTTAGGGCAGCTTACCTCAGCTGAACAGTGCAGCTTCTTTAGAGCTCTCTTCCACTGGGGATAGAATACCAGAAGAGGGGTTCATTAGGCTGGAGAGAAACCAGTGGAACCTGTCCTCCTTTCACAACACCCCAGATACTGGGTCCCAGACAAGCTGAGAGTAGGAGCAGAGATGCCAGACCTTTCCTTTTGTCTTCTCATGTGGTCCCCATCATACACCAAGCTAGCTAGAGAACTTCCCCAAAGGTGACATTCCTGGGCTGGAGAAGTTGCTCTCCAGGGGCGTGTGATGTCATTAGGTGACAGAAGTCCAGAGTATCTCTAGCAGGAAGAGAGGCCAGCAAAAAGCCACTCCTGCTTCTCTGGCCTGCTGCTGGATGTTCATGTTTTTACACAACCCACCTCAGCAGTTTCCCAGGGTAACTGTTGCTCGCTCCCAATTCAAAACTTTCTTCCGAGTCACTTTTGGGACAAGGACTGGGCCATTCTCACCATCTTTGTGGTCTCTCTGCCTTGGGCCTTAGATCCAAGGCTGTGCTGGAGACCCCAATTGCTTTATGACAGTGCTGATTTCTAATCTACCCAGCTGGGGCTGGAAAAGGACTACACAAGGACTACACAAGCCTGGTGGTTGGGTGACAGCTGGAGGGGACCCTCCAAGCTGTGGTTGCACCCTATCACTGGGAAGTGTTCAGTATGCAGATAAAAGCGGGAGTGCCAGTCAGTCAACATCCAAGTTAATTTTATAAGTCCCTCTGAGCCCACAAAGCTCTCCTACACATGGGATTTGTCCAAGTTGTGATTAAGAAATGGGGCTCTCAGGTATGGTAAAGCCAACACATATGAAGCATTTTTTCCCCTGACTCTTTCTATCCTGGCATAGATAGTCCCGGAGCCCTAGTGGGTAGAAGTTTGGCTGGGATAAAGGACATTCAGCAGGGATTTGGTTGTGTATGTGTGCTAGGTCAACTGGACAGGCGCATTACATACAGAAGCTAGGTAAAGACATTGGCTATTGGGGTGGGGGTAGAAGGCACAATGGTCAGGCAACTAGTGTGCTGGCAGTCGGAGTCTAATCTGCCTTACTAGAAGCAGAAGTGGATGACATTGACCTCTGGGAGGGTAATAGGATGAGGGCAAAGCAGCCCCACCAGTGCTTGCTGCCTGGATAGTGCTGGGGCTGAGGAGAGGTGATGGCTGCCAAGTGAGGTCTCTGTGGCAAGAAACGGATTTTCTGCATACAGTACCTCAGTTTCTCCCTGTGTGTCAAGGTCTCAAGCTTTGCAGATAAAAGTTTGGACTTGCAGTCCTGGAAGATCATCTACCTGTCTGATAGCTTGGGATGTGAGGTGTGGAGGGGCTAGGGAGAGTGCGAGCAGAGCTTGCTTGAACATGGAGTGGGGGTATTGGGCCATGCCCCAGGACTTGAGCCATCACTGGCACAAAAGGAGTTAATGCCAGGGACCGCGCCCCCCGTGTCCGGGCACGCGCAGCGCGCCCCCTCGGTGCGCGGGCACAGCAGCCAGGCTGCCGGAGAGCTGATCTCGGGGATTCGGGTGCGGAGCCCTTGGCCTGGAGGCGATATGGGTGGTCCTTGGCCGGGTTCAGTCGTTTGCAGCCGCCTAGGGAACAGGTGAGGCCGCCTGCTCCGGTCTCTCATCCTCTAGCTGCCCATACCTTTCCCCAATCCTGTCCCCTCCCAATCCCGGGTCCCTCCACCTCCCCAGCCAGTGGCTCCCATCCTTCTCAACCCCGTGTTCTCCATAGGTACCCCTGACCTCCCAACCCTCCCTTGCTTTGCTTTTCTCCTCTACCTCCTCCCTAAATCCTGCATCCCTATCATCCTCCCGCCCATGGTCCCTCTATTTCTATGGTCCAGCCTGCATGCTCACCAAAATACCCCTAACGAGAGCCCCCAGCCCCATTCTAGTATTGCACATTGCCAATACCCCCTCCCCTGCAGTGCACCCCCATCCCCCTTCCATCATAGCATCTTATAGCCAGGTTCCCTCCCCCACTCTCTGCAGCCCCCCCACCCAACGGAGGCCTTTATTCTATCCTCCCCATTCTAGGGCAATTTCATCCTCCAATACCATTCCAAACCCACATAGCCCCCAATTCTGCAGTTCTCAACACTGGTCCATTCCAACACAATGCCCCTTACCCAATACCGCTCCAGCCCACAAAGTCCCCTTAGATGCCATTCTCATCCCAGCATTGCTGCCTCCCCTTGTCTTCTCCCAAATTGCAAGTTGGACCAGAATGGATATCTTGGCCCTGGGAACTCACAGTGGGTCCTAGGGTACAGAGGGCATTTGGGGGTCGGTTGGTTTGTCTAGGTGTTCACCAGAGGGAGGGGCTGCAGCGAACTGACTCGATAGGGGAATTTGGTATTTGGCGCCGAAGGGTTACTGGAGAAGAAGGCCTCTAGAAAGGGTTAATGGAATTTATGAGGTGGGGGCAGCATCTAGGGGGTTAACGGGTGGGGGGGGTGCTGGCAGGGAAGCCGTGTGAATGAGCGGTCTGTGCCCCAGAGTTGCCATGGAGACGGTGAATGGGGGGATTGTGTGAACTCAGCTGCGGACTCCCCCCCCCATATACACACCCACCCACTCCCTCCTGCCCCACCTCCCTCTACCCCTTTCTTCCCCTTCCCCTCCTCCTCTCCTCCTCTCCACCCGGGTGCATTCTGGGCAGTGTCTGGGATCTCCCCACCCCATACTTTGCTCCCCATTTCCTCTGAGCCCCCATCCCTTTAGTCACTTTGCCTGCCTGCTTTCCTGCCTCTCTCTCTCTCTCTCTCTCTCTCTCACACACACACACACACACACACACACACACACACACACACACATTCCCCTCCCTTGGTGGCCGTTTGCCGGTCGTTCCCAATCTCCCTCCCCCACCCCTTCAGCCACTTCTTAAAGGAACATGCCTGCAATCTCGGAAGGCGGGAGAAATAGGGAAAAACTAAATGTGCTTCTGTGTGTGTGTATGTGCAAGTGCGTACTTGCATGCTCATTGTGTGCATGTGTGTCCATGCGGGACACACATGTCCGTGTGCCTGTGTATATGTGTTGACTGTAACTGTGTCAGAAGGCCTGTGTGTCTGAGTGTGTTGCTATTTCTGTTTCTGTCTCCACCTATGTGTCACCATTATGCCACTTGTGTCTGGATATTTACCTATGCGGGTATGTGTGATTTTGTTTCAGTAGGTCTCTGTGTGTGTGTGAATGTATCACTGTGAGGCTCTGGCTGTGTGAGGCAGTCTGTTTTGGAATGTGGGACTGAATGAGGGGATCTCTGTGGGTTTGGAATGTATGTCTCTACCAGTGAATATTGCAGTGTCTGTGATCCTGGCTTGGTCTCTCACTCCCTCTTTGAGTCTTTATGAGTTTATTTCATGAGTTCCAAGTGTATGTCCCTACACCCTGTTGTTTATTTTACACTGGACTAGCATCCACAATGCCTAGCGTGCTCAGCAGACCGATTTTTGCCTTTGGTTCTAGCATTTGCTGTGAATGAAGAGCTAGACAGCAGCAATGACAAAGGTTTAAGGACTTGGCAGCCGCAGAGGCTGGGGAGAAGAGTCAAGGAGGGGCGTGTAAGGGTCTTTGGACTTAGGTGAATGGCTGTGGTGCTCCCTGCCCTGCCTGAGGGGAAAGGGCCTATCTCGGTGGGACCCTCTGCCTGGCTGCAGTTTTTCTTTTCTTGTCCTGGAATGAAGTTGGCAGCCATACTGGAAGCCGTACTTCCAGCTCCTCCATCACTGCATGCTCTGACTCCAGAAGGCCATAGTCAACTCCACTGATGATGGAGTCAGAGTCGGGAACTGAATTAGCAATGGCCACAACTGTCACTCTGTTCATCCCCTTAGATTTTTTCCCCAACCATGGCCAGGCACATAAAATAGTTTTGAAAAGCAATGGGTCGCCTGTGAGTGCCTGGAACCCTGGGCATGTGAAACCTCTAATTGTGGGGAAATAGGCTAAGCCCACCAGGGTCCCAAAGACTGATTGTCCAGCCCTGACAGATCATCTTGGATGACACATGCTTCCCTCTTTCCACAGGCCTGTCTGGCCCTAAGGGAGCCCTCTTTCGAAGTGGTGGTGCTTGGACGACCCGCTCTCTGCTCTCTGCGTTGCTGGGCACCTGTAGGTGTCCCTCGAGAGCTCAGTTTTGAGGTTCAAGTCAGTGTGGCCATGAAGGGGCTGCCTATTGGGCTGATGCTGTGACCCTGGAGTCTGCCTCTCCTGCCAGTACCCCTGCCCGGAACATGTGGCTGCAGCTTGGCCTGCCCTCGCTGTCCCTGAGCCCCATGCCCACAGTTGGCCGGAGTCTGTGCCTCACGCTGTGGTTCCTCAGTTTGGTGCTGAGGGCCAGTACACAGGCCCCAGCACCCACAGTCAATACTCACTTTGGGAAGCTAAGGGGTGCCAGAGTACCATTGCCCAGTGAGATCCTGGGTCCTGTGGACCAGTACCTGGGGGTACCCTACGCAGCTCCCCCGATCGGCGAGAAACGCTTCCTGCCCCCTGAACCACCCCCATCCTGGTCAGGCATCCGGAACGCCACACACTTTCCCCCAGTGTGCCCCCAGAACATCCACACAGCTGTGCCCGAAGTTATGCTGCCAGTCTGGTTCACTGCCAACTTGGATATCGTCGCTACTTACATCCAGGAGCCCAATGAAGACTGCCTCTACTTGAATGTCTATGTGCCCACGGAAGATGGTGAGTGCTGCGGCCAGGCATTGTGCCCTCCTTGCCTCCCGCCTGCCCTGTTGTGTTTGTGGCTTGCATGTGGTTGTGTGCCCTGCAGCATGCGTCTGTCTGTCTGTGAAGATGCTTCTAACCATCACTCCGCTTGGCCTTTCCCCTCCCTGTTCTTCCTCTCCCAGCATTGTCCGAGCTCCCATGTGTGAGTGACACTGATGCCAGAAGGGGGCTGGCCAGGCCTGAGAGCTTTGACAGGTCTAGGTCCAGTGCTGGATGGGGGTACCCTGGGGGAGTATGGGTGACTGCTGGCAGCTGCCCGCGGGAGGATGCTGGCTCCACCAGGCCCCCCTGTTGCCATTTCCACCTGCTTCAAAAGGTGGTAGGTGTGTGTGGCTGAGGGAGCTGGGTGTGTGTGGGGGGCAGGGGGACAAGCCTGGTTGGAGATGCTTAGGTGCCTCCTCTTCCACTAGCTGATGCCTCCTCCCGCGGGGGTCACATTAAGGTAAGTGACAGAAACAAGGAGATGGTGGGACAGGCTCTCTGCCATGTGCCGCTGCAGAGCAGCTCAGCTCTTGGGGCCTGGGTGGGGGGGATGCATGCCCCTGGGCAGAGGCCTCCTGTTATTTTTTAGTTTTTTATTCATTTTACAGTAAAGCGGATTTCCAAGGAATGCGCCCGAAAGCCCAACAAGAAAATTTGTAGGAAAGGAGGTAGGTAGCGAGCCGGCGGGGAGGGAGAGAGAGAGAGAGGGAGGACTGCTTGCCCACCTGTCCCTGCCCCTGAGGACCCAGACTTCCTTCAAGTATCCCAGGTTGAGAGGGTTATAAGCAGACTTAAGGTCCCAGGCTTAAGGCCCCACCTCCTCCAAGGGCCCTGGCTGTTTTGCAGAAAGGTTCCAGTGGCCTAAGGCAGGTTCAGAACAGAAGCAGAAAGCCCATTGCTTCCAATCTTCCCAGCTTCCCTAAGGAGTGTGCCAAAGATAGACCCAGTGCTTCTTTTGGTAACACCTCAGAAGAAAGCCGGCAGTCAAGATGGAGCCAGAAGCTCCACCTTCCCCTGCAGCCAGTGCAGATATGAGGACCGTCTCTCCAGTACTCGGTCCTGGGTTGAAGGTCTATACTCGACCCTCCCCTACTGAAACCTAGGAGAAACTCGGGTACACAGATTTAGCTGCCCTTGTGTAGCGCACATCCTGCCCCTGCCTCACCACCTCTGACCAGAGCTGAAGGACTCAGGCTACTCCTGTGGCAGAAACTGGAAGCCTCGGCAAACTGGAGACTCTAAAGAAAGCCAATTTGAAATTCACCCTCCTGATGAAGGGATTTGTTTCCCCATATTGTAATGTTTCCTGTTTGCACACTACTCTATGTTTTCTGCAAGGGTTCTTATATTTACCTCATAAACCCCTCCACATTAGGGAAGCAAGCAAGGCAGGAAGCAGTATTCCGATTTTACAGATGAGGAACCGAGCCCAGGGGAGTGACTTGCTGCACAAGGCCCTGTTGCCAGTCTAGAGTAGATCTGAGGCCAAAACCTAGGGCTCTTGGCCCTCAGGGAATGTTCTTTCCACTGTAGCCCATGGAGGCAACTACCACCTGGCCAATGCCACCTCCCTAAAACATAGATCAGATGTGACTGGGTTGGGTCAATTGACTCTGGTAACAGCCTAAGGAACAAGGACAACTACAACTCAACCCTTACAAGCCTATGGCAAGCCTGGCCTTTGTTTTCCTCTGATGCTTTAGGGCAGGGTTTCTCCGGTGTCATCAGGATTCTTGGGATGGAAAGATCCCTACTGAATGAGAATCTCTAAGGACAGCCGCAGAATCAGCACATTCTAAAGCTCCTGGTGTGGAGGGCTTTTGATGCACATTGGAGAAGGGAGTCCGACTCGCTGCCCTTAAGAACAGTGTTTTACCTCTCTTGACATCCAGCCCAGGCCCCTCCTGTGCAGTAGGAAGTGTGCACAGGCTTTCATGCAAATGAAGGATTTCTCTAGTACGCCCGCCCGCTCAAGCAAGAACGCTGGTCTAGGAAGCACAACCCCTGTGACCTGGCCTCCGCTGCCAACTCATATGTCATTCTTTTGATTCTCTCTTGTTTTTCTTTGCTTTGCTGTGTTTTGTTTTGCTTTTGGAGGCAGGGTCTTGCCATGCAGCTTAGGCTGGCCATGAGCTCTTTATATAGCCCAGGCTCAGAGGCCAGTCTTCTTTTTTTTTTTTCTTTTAAGAGCCTCCATTTTCACATGGGAAGGCAGAAAGACCATCGTGGCTGTAACCTTCCATTAACCTGCACGTGTATTTAGGGAAAGGGTTTCGAAACTGCTCTCATGAGGTACTACTTAGTGGGGTGCAGTGGGGTGAAGTACTACTTAGTGGGGTGCAGTGGGTGAGGAAGAGGTGGTATTACTATTAGCCACTGCTTAGGAAGGTCTTTCAGGGCTCCAGTAGGAGCCTAGGGCAGGCCAAGCTCATACTGAGATTTTGGCTAGATTGCTGACTGGAAGCCACCATGCAGTGTGAATATTTTGCCAATTTTAACTGTGGATGATGGGCAAGGTGCTGTTGGGATGTGAACAGAGTCTAATCATTGTTCTGTAGAAGCTCCTAGGCTGGTACTAAAGCTCTGCTGGATTCCTTAAGTCCACAGGCACTGGGAAGGGGGCTTTAGATAGGATAGGGGAGGTCATTTGTTTCAAATTAGTTCCCTATTCTGGGCCTGTTAGCCATCTGAAAAAGCTACAAATCTTGCCTCTTTGGGCACACAGGGTGTGTGTGTGTGTGTGTGTGTGTGTGTGTGTGTGTGTGTGTGATGTGTGTGTGATGTACAGGGCAGCTGGGGTGGCCTATGTAGGTCCTACATGGTGCCATGTCTGCGGGTGGTACCTGGTAAAGCCCATGTTCATCAAGGACATGCTGAAGGAGCAAAGACATCTGTACAGGGGAGACTGGGGCAAGGCTGGGGTGATGTAGCAAGCCAAGAACCCCCAGACCTTCACAGAAGGAGCCACCAGAAATGAAGGATCTGCCCTAGCCCTGCCTCCATGGAGTTGAAAGGAATTTATGCTTAAGAAGGAGTGATTCTGCTGGGTGGCTGATTCACTGTGTGGCCATGTCTCATTGAGATTTCTGAGGGCAAGGCCGGCAGGTGCTGAGCTAACGTGTTAAGACAGTAGGTGCCACCGGAAGTTCAGGAAGCCAGAGGTTATTTCTACTAGAGCTGGGGTTTTGCCCAAGTTGGAAAGGCATCTTGTAGCATGAGGGTTGTTACTGTTTTGATCAATAACTCTAAGGGTATTCAGTCACCAGAGTGCAGACCAACAGAGAAAGAGGGCCATCTGCTTGCTCCAGGTTCAAGGTATCTGTGATCATGGAAGCAAGAGGGTAAGGTGTGGGGTACCAGCAGAATTACTTCCATTTTGACACTGACCAGCAACCAGGCAGTAGTAGATCATATCTTTTTACAGCCATTCTAAGATGTCCTTCTAGTCTCCTCAGAACTAGAAATGGCACCAGCCTACCCCCCACCCCCAGGTCCTAAATATCTTTCTTTCTCCTCTAGTCTCTTTCCTCTCCTCTCCTGTCATACTCCACGTCTTCTCTCATCTATTTCTTCGTTCCCTTCCCCTCACCCCTGAAAGGTGGCATGATGCAGTGGAAAGACCATAGGGCTTTGGAGTCAAGCAGACCTGGGTTTGATCCACACTTCTAGCACTTCCTAGCTGTGTGATCTTGAGCAAGTCACTTTACCTCTCTGAACCTCAGTTTCCCCATCAGTGAAAGAGGAATAAAAATGATGCCGACCTTGTTGGGATGTGAGGATCAAGCAGTAGAAGTAGAATATGTCTGGCATGTGGTAGATGTTCAGTACTCAGCATATGGTAGGATCCATTTCTCTCTCTCTTTCTCTCTCTCTCCTCTCTCCCTCCCTCCTCCATTCCCTTCTCCTCCCCTCCTCCCCTCCCCCTCTGGCTCTCTCCTAGAGCAACACTTGCTGCTCTTAAAACTGGTTCCTATTTACCACTATCAAGAGCAGGGGGGGCCCAGTGAAAAAGGCCAGAGGAAAAATTTCATCTCCCATCTTCTCCTGCGGGAATCAGGGTCAGCTGAGGCCGGGCTCGAATCTGCCCACTGGAACCTGGGAGCTCAGACCTGGGGTCCCGGGTAGTCAATTCCGCCCTAAGTAATATCACATAGATATCCGCAGATGCTGGCAATGTCACTCCTCACCTTCAGGACCTATCCCTGCCCTCCAGCTCAGCCTGCCTGTGCCTATACATGCAGCCCTTCCATCCATCCAAAATGAAGTTTCCACAAGTGGGCCTCCGGCTCTGTGCCCCAGCCCACCTGCTGCTACCTCCTTCCTAACTAAATGAACTTGGTTCGGGGACAGGGAGGCGGGGCAGGGAGGTGTAGGGAGGTCAGCACAGCAGAGGCCTGCAACACCATCATCCTGATGAAGGTCTGGGCCTCAGCCCACCCATTCCCTCAGTTCTTGCCATCCCTCCTGCCTGTCCTGGGCCCAGGCCCAGAGCTGGCTTGCTGGGCCACACTGCAGTCATGCTGTTTTTGAATTCTCTCTCTGTTTTGTTCTCTGTTCTGTGCTGTTGTGTCTCCCCGTGTCTGGTCCCCAGGATCCGGCGCTAAGAAACAGGGCGAGGACTTAGCGGATAATGACGGGGATGAAGATGAAGGTATTTGGGGGCTGCAGGGCGCGGCGGCTGGTGCATGGCACAGAGCCCCTCCCCTTCTCAATGGGGAGAAGCCCCGTCTGTCTGTCTGTCCGTCCGTTGGTGTGTTTCTGTTCCTGTACAAAGCCGCTGGGCTGTTCCTTCGTCTTTGGCCTCATTGGCCACTGGGACTTCTGGGGTAATGGACACGGCTGGCAGGAGCAGGAGACTGACCATAAGTAGAGCCATAGGGAGGATGTCTTCCTGGCTCTGGCCCCTACCCCTCTCCCATCTTCTATGATTCATGGGCACCTGCCCATATGTGGTAGCAGAAATGGTGAAGAGCAAGCAGGGCCAGGGAGGGTGGGAGGAAGCACAAGGAAAGCTGGATGGTGACAGGGTACCTGGGATTCTCTAAGGAGGCCTCTGGGTCTCATGAGGAACCTCGTTCCCGGGAGAGGGGCCCTGCTAGGATACACCAAGGGGCAAGGCAGGGGCATTCAAGGCTAGCACTTCCCCAGATTTCTTCCCCAGAAGAAAGATGGCCAGAGGGCCAGAGGTTGCAGTAGGTTGGGGACAGAACCAGAAAAACTGTGGCCTAATGAGCCAGGCTGTGGCCCAGATACCACAGCCATCAGTAGATGAGCTAAGGTTCTTGAGTAGTGATGGGACCAGCCTTCCTCCATGAGGTAACAAGATTGTTTGTGCTGCAGCCGAGAGCAGTCCCTTCTCCACCCACGCTCTGGGCCTGCCCCTTTGGAGGCCCTGGAGGGGCCAGGCAGTTCAGGGGATCCACTGGTGACTGGCAGGGCTGTGCCGGTGTGGCAGAGAGTGGGCCAGCTCACAGACTGACAGGTGACAGACAAGTCAAGGTCGGGCCTGGAGCCTTCTCTTGACTGCTCCAGCCCAACACAGTGCTGACTGGGCTCAGGAGGACCCCTTGATGAGCCCTCGGGCACTGGCCTGGGTAGAGACTTCTACATCTTAACTCATGCCACGGTCTGCTCCGCCCCAGTGTTTCCAGCTAAGTTTGCCCAGGAAGAATGGGGGATACGGGCTTGTGGTTAAGAAACCATGTCTATAAGGTTCCCCGACCCCATCTCTATCATCCACTCCCCCCCTTTCCCCACCTTCCTGTTCTCTCCCTGTGCCACCCCTTCTCCCCACCCTTTTCGTCTTTGTCTGCACTGGGGGGGGATCCAGCTGCTGCCAATGGCCGTTTTTCCATGTAACTGGTCTAGTCCTGGGGGTTTCAGGGCTCCCCAGCTCCTGCTTTCTAAAGCCATGTCAGGTCCCAGGACTCCTGGATGTGTAGGGCAGGAACTCACCTGATGCTGCTAAGGGATCACCAAGCCCTTGTTATTCCTTACTATCCCAGAAGCCAGCCATGGTCACCCAGGCCAGAGGAATTATACCCACAGGGCCATCTTCAGTTGGGAGGTGCTTGAAACCCAAATCTTTCAAAATATTATACAGTTTCAGCTCTCTGGCCAATACTTGAACTCTGGGCCTAGCAGCCCCATGAGTCCTGCCCTCGGGGATGGCGGTGGTGTCCTGGTACCTGGAATAGCTTTGCTGCCCGCACCCCTCCCCCAGGGCTGGCGGGGGTAGGGGAGCAAGGGCATCCTACCTAGCCCGTGTCTCACCCCTTCTCCTTACAGACATCCGCGACAGTGGTGCTAAGCCTGTCATGGTCTACATCCACGGAGGTTCTTACATGGAAGGGACAGGCAACATGATTGACGGCAGCGTTCTTGCAAGTTATGGCAACGTCATCGTCATCACCCTCAACTATCGGGTCGGGGTGCTAGGTATGGTTCTCTGCCAGGTGCCTAGAAGGCAGGCTGGCATTGAAGGGAGGGGGAAAGAATCTGGGGGAATTCAACTCAGGCAGTCTTGGTTTTCTAACTGGTGTTAATGACCAGTGTCATGAAGTTATTCCATCACCCTTACCCAAATACCAGGGGCTTTCTCGCATCCCTAGGCCCTTTTTTAGAATATTTAGATGCCAATGGAAATCCAATTCAAACTTTATACTTTTTTAGAAGGTGGGGTTAGACAGGTAGCTTAAGCTGGTCTTGAACTCCTGGTCTTCCTGGTTCCACCTCCCCAGTGCTAAGATTTTGGGCATGGGCCACCATGTATGGTTTAAACTTCACACCAACTCTCAAGCTAGGCCTCTATTACCAGACTTCTGCTTGGCTGGGTTTTGTAGGCCCTGTTAGTTTTCTGGAGTCTTATCTTCATGGCTACCCACCCAGCCCCACAGTCCTAAGTACATATGCACATACAGATATGCCTTCTAATCCACCCTGTAACCACACACCCTAATACACTCACACATCACGTCCATCCACCCACTCCCACGCATACAAATACTTTTCGCTTCCCGGAGCACATGCGCACACAGCTCCAGTCTCCTCCTACACAATCCGCACAGAGCGAGACACATCCAGTCTCGCTCACACACATATCCACAGACCCACACACTATATGCTCCACATGCACACCCCCGCACAGATTTCTCCCACCTTCCCTATATATACACACGCTCTTATACATGCTGCGCCGCATCTTTTAGCCACAGCCACACCATAAATACCACACACTCCCAGAGTTGCAAGTTTTGCTGCCCTTCTACTGACACCTTACATAAACACCTAGACTCTGTACATCCACACCCAGATTCCACATAGTTATGTATATGTAGCTATGCCTTCCACTACCCCTACATACACACCACACAAACACACACACATGCACACGCACACATCTGTATCCTCGTACATGGCCCACTTGTGTATTCACTTCACACATGATGTACTTCACATATGCATACACCTCTCTCTCTCTCTCTCTCTCTCTCTCTCTCTCTCTCTCTCTCTCTC